TTGCTGCTGGTGGTTGATTCTGCTGCTGGTTTGCCCCTCGGTAGTTCCTGCTGTTCGGGTTCGAGTAGCAGTTGGCTGCCCTATGCCCAATTTTCTGGCAATAGTGACATGCCCCTGAAAATCCGCCTCTCTGCATCTTGTTATCGCCTCGAACCTCCCCCTCTCTCTGCTGCCCTCCATTTTGCAGGCCCCTTTGCTGCGGACCGCTCCACTTTCCCTTGAAATTTCTGCTCCTCGGGTTGTCATAGCAGTCTATCTGCTTATGACCCTTCTTCCCACACTGAAAACACACCCCGAAACCTCCGTATCCTTTCCCTGTCGCTGCTGCGTTTACCATAGCATGAGTGACTGGTCCCATTCCGCTCAAGCTAATCTCCTTCCTGAGCCGATCAGCTTTCACCCGCTCCAGGGCTTGGAGCGTCTCCAACAGCTTGGTCATATTCGCGGGTGGGTTGCAGGTTAGGAGCCCTATCTCTGCTTCCCACTCCTTGGGCAGCCCAGTAATGATGTACCCCATCATTTCTCCTTCAGTTTCAGCTGCCCCCATCGCCTTGAGATCGTCATTGTACCCCTTTACTCGATTCATGTAGTCAATGACCCTCTCCCCCGGCTCCATACTCAATAGAAGGAGTTTCTTCCGAATGGCTGCTTTGTTCGTATCCGTAAGCCCAAGGTAAGCAGCTTCCATGTACTCCCAGGCTCGTTCGGCAGAGTTCTCCTCTCCCGCAAATTGATCCAGCCCCACTGCAATGCTGTCAGAAACCGAATGGCACAATTGAAAAAAGGCTTGCTTACTCCTTTTTTTGAATGACGCATTTTCTTCTGGTTTTTCTTTTGCAGATGGTGGGACGCCCTCTCCCGTCTCCTTGTCGGGATGATAGTACGGCCAGAGATCGACTTCCTCCGCTCTACGAATGAACTTGAGTCGCCACGTGCTATAATTTTCTCCATGGAACCGTTGGGCCTCGCTAAGCCCAATCATTGGTTTCGCCGTCAATTTAGCTTGTGCTAGCGCTGTTAGGATGGCCTGTAGTTCTGAGCCTCCAATGCTCACAGAGGAGCCCGAACTTGCCTCAGTATGATCTCCCGTCATACTTAATAGATTCCGCCTATCCTTAAAACGCTATAACACGCCTTAAACCGGCTCTGATACCAGCTCTTGAACGTGCGCAGCCTTTATTCTAGACTGTGAAGACTATTTAGAGTCTTAATAGTATGCATAGTAACCTCTGGCTTCAACTGTGTGAAGGAATTTGATGGAAAACGCCAAGGCAGAAAGTTGAAGTAATTTCATTGAAGAAGGCATACAAAAACAGAAAACACAAAGCAAGTTATAAGCAAAAGGATTTCTGATTTCGCCCTCGCGCCGCGCCTAATTTCGAGCTGAGTTGTACTCGGCTTAATTTCCAAATCCAACCATGCACCGAACGCGCCTCGAGTTCGAAATTCAGACTTCCTTGGACACGCCTTTGACCCGGCGTGACTTCTCTTCACGTCACTTGAAAGCACGACATTTCAGCCATGTTCTTCTCCATTTCAGCACGCTTCCTCTCCTTCTCTTCGTTTCCCACTGCAGGTCGCGCTGCTACCGTGTTTCTCCTTCCACCGTCCCAACATAGGTAGTCTCTCTTCTTCTTAGGTCCTCGCTTCCCCATAGTCTCAGCTCGTCAAAAATAGGTTTTTCTTAGGTCGATGTAGGTCACTCCAGGTTGTGCTAGGTCGTGGTTAGCTAACCACCGTCAACAAGTTGTACGCGGCTCTTGCAGATTTTGTGAGCTATCTTATAGGGATGAACTACAAAATAATGAAGCAGGCCGGATAGCAAGTTTACTACCACTGCACTAGGTTTCAAGAAACCCAGCTCTGCTTGTGAAACCCTGTTGTTTGGCGCTAACAAGATTTTCAAGAAAGGTGTGTTGGGGAGGGATATGAGAAGCTGATGCGCGCCTCGTTCATGATAGTGTTGGCGATGGTGATAAAAGATTCCGCGCGGTGATGAGGTTTTTACCAAGTCCGCGACAGGGAGCACAATTTTCTGTGTCATCAGAAATGGAATCGATGACGTGGCATTGCAACCATTCATAATTTGTCTGCTTTGCCATGCTGGGCACTGTGGGTGTCGACATTTGGTCAACGCGGCCCCGTCAGTCAAGAATCTCTCAAATTTTTTATTTCGATATCAGTTACCTCTCAAAAGAGGCAATCTCTACACGGCTCAAACTTCTAGATCCTCAAAGCCCGAAGTCTAGATATATACTGTGGAAGCAAATTGAATACGAACAAAGGCATATGACAGCCAACGCTTCCACGTCACGATTCATGAGAGATTCGTTGGCTTCGCCCTCCAATAATTTCGCTTCAGAAGTTCCAGCAATGCAGTTCTCGCAACTCCTCGCCAGATTTTTCGCCAACTGGCACCTCTGGATTTTCCCGTTCGCAGGAATTCCGGCGGCAATCCATCCTAAACCACCAAACCAATCCTTGGGAGTTCCTTGTCCCCCTTTCTCCTCCAAGAGTCCATCATTGAGGGGGTGTCCAGCTCGTACATTTACTGTTCGTAAACCCATCAGTTACCACATTTTTTGTGGTAACCCTTTATTGAACGTGTCCAGCGGACACAATCAGCTTTTGTTCACAAGACGGCACGCCCCCTGCACGTACCTAGAGTCGTCTGACTCACGTTACTGGAATCAGCAGGGACGCGAACAAGGGTACAGCACCGCGTCCTGGCCACTACAGTTCGTGTCCCTTTTATCGCTTGCACTATTTCGTCAGTGGTTCGCTCTACTCGCCAACGCCCCCTGCGCCTGCACAAAAAATTTCAAGCTATGTTTGACGAGGGAAACTGTTGCCTCGTTTTCAACGTGGTCAGAGCACTGTTGATTCGTGTGGCGGGGAATGGTGTCCGCGCTTCTGAAATTACAGGATGGTTGGACACCACTCACAATCCATTCGTTTCTAGGTACGGTGGTCATTTTTTAACCTCGATACGTGCGTTGGCAAGAAAAATCCCGAAATGAACGAACTGGACACGCCCTGAGGCTGAAACGCCTTGCCTCTGTTCTTCGTTTGACCGCATCGATAGCTATTTTCGTTCAGTATCGTCTAGTTGAGCAGTGCATTTCGCACTTAGCAACCCATTCCATCCCAACGACGCAGGTGGTCGTCATGGAGCTCTCTCATCTCGCCCACTCCGCGCAGTCGCTGGGCTTACCGGGTCTTCTCGTTGCGCTCGCGTTGATCATGGTCGTCGCGTCGTGGCTAGGCGCGTCGCAAGGTGAGAGACGAACCCCGCGGGGAGAAAATGAGCCTCGCAAAGTGAGGGAGGAACGTCAACTGCGAAACGGAGGTCGCAAGGCGTAAAACTAATGTCGCAAGGACTGAAACAAATGAGGCGGGGTGTGAAATGAGGCGACGATTGGCGATCAGTCGTTGCGCGGCACGACAGCCTGACGGGTCACGTCATGGACGCCTCGGAAACTCGACCATAGGTTAGTGAACGGTGGAGTGCGGTGGGGTGGGGTGGCACGGAGGAATGACCCACAGCGGTTAGTTTAGCCAGCGCAATGTTCACGCCGGTGAGTGAATCGTATCATCAAGTGACTAGCGCTCGTCGTGGGCGGAGAATGTGCTGTGCGCGATGCTCGTTGAGCTGCCTGGAGCAGTGTGTTATGCAGGAAGTAGTTGGGGAAATACAGCAGGTTGTAGCATTGTGCTAAGTAACGCGGCTGACATGCACCTGCTAGGCAGCTATCATGTTGCGGGAGTTGAAGGGCGGAGTAGGTGCTAGGCACACACAGCATAGCGTTGTCACTAGGACACAACCTTACTGCATAAGTCCCAACAGCATAACACCACTGCCACACAGCGTTACGTCACTCAAACAGGATCAAACAGGAACAGGAACAGGATCAAACTGCAGCACAGCATTACGTCACAGCAGCTGGCCACTCCAATGCAGTCATTCTAATTGTAAACATGCCAACACAGCAATGCTGCGTGTGCACCACCTACTCTAACACACCAACATTCCCCACTCCTGTTTCTGGAATTGTTGTCTCACACCCACTCAGGATAAAAAAAAACGACCGTTTTATTGAAATTTTACCGTAAAAAACGATACCGTAAAAAACAGTCGTAAAAAACGGTTTAAAACGGTTCCAGGAGGTGTTTCCTCTATAACTAACAAAACGGCTACTTAGTGGAACCAAATTGAACCCCAAATGCAGCAGCATGAAGGGGATGGACCCCTTCTTGCATGTATGCGCTTGTTGGCATGACTGAAAATGTTTTTGACCTTGGTTTTCTCTCTTTTTTTCTTGGTAAACAGAGTTCTCTAACAAAAAAACGGCCGATTTTTTTTTAAATCACCGTAAAAAACGGACCGTATTTTACGAAAACCGTAATTTTGAACCTTGCACCCACTCCGAATCATTCTCGTGTTCCTCGCCTCCCCGAATCATCCCCCACACGCCTCGCCCCTCTGAAACACCCCACACACGCCACCTCTGTCTCATCCCTCCGTGCACGATAACTGTCCACAGCCCCTGCACCTCTCCATTCTGTGCACCTCTCCATTCTGTGCACCTCTCCATTCTGTGCACCTCTCCATTCTGTGCACCTCTCCATTCTGTGCACCTCTCCATTCTCTGCACCTCTATCACGTATGTGTGTATGCCTTCTGTACCCTCAAGCATAATGTTTTTGCCTTCTGTGCGTGTGTGTATCTTTGTGTGTGTGTCTGTATGTGTGTGTGTGTGTGTGTGTGTGTGTGTGTGTGTGTGTGTGTGTGTGTGTGTGTGTGTGTGTGTGTGTGTGTGTGTGTGTGTGTGTGTGTGTGTGTGTGTGTGTGTGTGTGTGTGTGTGTGTGTGTGTGTGTTTCTGGGTATGTTCGTGTGTGCAATTGTCCCTGTGCGTGCATGCATGTCTCTCCTCGTGCATATTGCTGTCTCTGTTTACGCCTCCGGGCATTGCTGGTACATGCACCCTCACAAAATCAGGAAAGAAGAGCAGCACGCAACAAGATAATCCACCTGTAAGTTAGTGCATTTCAGCTCCTAGAGTCTGCTTGTTCGCATCACCTCACATCGCCCACTTCTTCATGCCCCCTCCACCTCACTCCTCCCATCAAACCATCTTCTCATCTTTTGCTCGTTTCTCTGCTCTTTCAAAATCATCTGCCTTTTCTTCTGCCCGTTGATCCGTCATTGTATATCGACATTTTCATTTAAATGACAGGCTGCCAAGGAAACCAAGGTGTACAGCAAGGAGGAGGTAGCGAGGCACAACAAGAGGGACGTCTGCTGGGTCATCATAAAGAACAAGGTGCCTCACATGCTGCCTCCTCTTTTTACACTTCACTCAAAACCCTCCTTTGTTTTGTATTAACTCAATAGTCAGCAAGAGGGATGACTGCTGGGTCATAATCTAGAACATTTTATCAGGAAAAACTTTAATCCACAATGTTCCTCCACGTCTGGCATATCGAGTCATATCACGACATCACGCTTCAATCTGAAGTGATGTAATCCAGAAACAAGGTGCCTCATAAGCTTCGTCCTCCTCTCTTTTGACTTGACTCAAAGGAGTCCTCCTCTCTTAAGTCAACTCGTTGGTCAAAGAGAGGGACGGCTGCTGGGTCATACACAAGAACACGAACAAGGTGCTAGACATGACTCCTACCGCTCCTCCTCCTCCTCCTCCTCCTCCTCCTCCTCCTCCTCCTCCTCCTCCTCCTCCCCCCCCCCCCTTCCCCAATCATCCTCCACTTCTCTGCATCATCCATGATGAGGCAGGCAGTGGGTTCCGCCTGTCACCAAATTTCATCACAGGGTTAAAGGAACAAGTAGGCGGAGACATCACAGAGCATCCCCTGTGTGGTCTCTGTGCTGCCTCCCGATCTCCCAAATGCATGGCTCCTGGCTTCTCGTCCCATGCAGCATCCTTCTGCCAGTGTCTCCGCAGGTGTACAATATGACATTGTATGTGGATGAGCACCTGGGTGGCGATGCCATCCTCATCATTGTCACCACACCACCCAAGTGCACAGCTCTTGTGCTTGTCCCATGCGCGATCTCTCTCCCCGTGGTCCCTTCAGGCGTATGTTTTGCCGTCATGTGTGGAGGAGCATCCTGGTTGCTTTTGAGGTGCTTCAAAAGCTGATGGTGCACAGCTCTTGAGTTTCTTGTCTTCTGATGAGTCTCTCTCCCCGTGGTCCCTGCAGGTGTACGATCTGACATCGTATGTGGATGAGCACCCGGGTGGCGACGCCATTCTCAACAATGCAGGAGGGGACGCAACAGAAGGCTTCTATGGGTATGGGTGCTTCTTTTGGGTTTCCACATTTTAGAATTCAGAGCTAGTAAGGCAAGTGTAAAAGTGCTAACAACGTAATTTACTACCTCGTGTGCTATTGCTTTGTTGCAGACCTCAACATGCATCCCGTGTGTTCGATCAAGTGGAAGAGTTCTATATGGGTGAACTTGCAACCAGTAGCTAGAATCATCTTAGGCAACAAACAAAATAAAATCTACTGTAGGATACCTCTTTTGTTAGCTACTTGCCATACGAGCAAATTCTGGTGAAGTCTCCCAAGTGGAAGATGAGCCAAAGCTCATCGTATCATTACAGTACAGTGCCATCCACTTGCAAAATTTGAGTCGTTCGTGATGCAATTCATCTCACCTTGTTACAGGACGGTTTTTTATTGTCTGTGGCCTGAACCAGGGACTGCATCACACATCCTTCCACCGGGGATTTTTCGTATTTATATATCACCTCTTATATATTTTTGGGTTGCTTAGCAACCACCTACATTTGGTTTCGCTTTTAGGTTCCTTTACCATTATTTACATGGAACCTGTTCCTCTTGTTCCTTATGTGACAGTTTATATACTTCACGAGTTGCACTTCTATTTCATGTGAGACAAGCCGTGGAACCGGAACAGTAATGCTCCCGCTACAGTGTTTGTACAAAGAAGTTCTGAGTTTGACGAAGCGCAGGTATGACCTGAACAACGCCTTGTCGTTACATCACCCGTCGAGCGCATGTGCTTCAGTAAATTTGTCCATCGAGTCGCAGTGGAGCTGCTATCTGTCTGCCACATCAGGCTACCCGACAAATCTGTTCGGTGCATAGATTTCGCTCGAAGGGCAGACATACGCAGAAAGCCAGTCCACCCTACAGCTGTCTGGGCCATTGCCGGAGGTCCCTGTGATATTTTAGGGGACTATGGTATAATGTGTGAAATAGGATTCGTGACCAGAGTCAGGGGTTCGTAAACGTGTTTCTTAGCAACAATGTCAAATTTGTGATGTTTTTGCTCCCCTCGACAGTGCATCCTTCACCACGTAGAATTGGGGGGTCAGTCACGGGGAGTTGCTTGGTCCTTGAAAATGGGGCCAGCGTGAAGAGAGAGAGTTGGAGGTAGGAGAGGGAGATGATATTTCTAGCTCCAGCACCCTCCGTGTCACTGCAGTGTGGATTTAGGGAATGTGCCTCGGCCAGCCCTAACAAATCCGCTTGGATAGTACGAAAGTGGGAAAACCTCGACATATTGTGTACACAAGAACTCAAAGGCGATTTCCTTGGTTTCAATTCGACACGTCTGGTCTGGTCCTCGTTTCGGTACACTTGCACGCACACCCTCTGTTCCCCCCAACCCAGACTGCAACCCCTTCGCCACGGCGCGCAACTGAACGGAGCTGAATTTTCTCCTGCCCTTCCCCAGCCCTGCCCAATCTCGTCTCCGACGAACAGATGCAGTGTTTGAACGAGGGCTCGAATTTCCATGGGAGAAGATCATACAGGGGCCGAAAAGTGCCAGAAAGATGTTCAAACAGGGGCCGAGAGGCCCGGAACCACTGCGCAATAAAGTTATTTGCAGAGAGGTATAAAAGTTTTAACGTATTTCCGTTAACAGTTTGCATTCATGCTCGCGCGTCATTTTTCATGGAAATGTTTACTGATTCATTACCTTCCACCCAATAGCGTCGTTTAGCAAGCCAGAAACTCTTAGGGCAGCCAAAAAAACTAAAACCCCAAGGGGAACCTGGATGCATTTTCGGGATGGATCAACCCTAAAAACGGGAACCTTCGTTGTGTTTAGGGTTGATGCCTCCCTAGTCGCATCCATTTCCGAATGGGTAATATTTTTTTTTTCTGCGCGTTTCCGATCAGGGAGTGATATTTATCGCCCATAATGAATTTGTTTTTGGACTCACAAATTAACTGAGCAATATTTACTTCCAGAAGAACGCGATGTGCGCGTAATAGTAGACGGCGGTCGTAACCATTTTTTCAATAAGTTGGACGAGAACTTTGGTTCTGATAGAATTTCTCTTTTAGTCACGGCTCGGCTTGTTCGCCTAGCCTCTTGGGCAGCTCGGGGTCGAAATCCTACGGTCGAGATTTTCTGGCCCTACTTGGGTCATCCCTCTGGCACTCTTCGGCCCTAGTTTGATCATTTCCCAATTTCCATCTCCTCCATCTCCTGTGATCTCTCCTGTAGTCTTGCTCACCCTACGATTACCAGCAACACCAACGCCACCAACACTAGCAACAACGCCAACACCAACACAAACACCCGCCCTTGAATACTTCACCCAAGCTTCTCTCGCTACAAACCTAACGTGGGCATCAGATTCAGCTTATCAGCGGGTATTTTAAGTGGTGATCATATATCCGATGGACCTTAGTCCCACAGAGTTGTAAAGTCAATCCAGTGCACCTTCAGTATCACATATCCGTTACCATCGCATCACGCCGAGGCGGTCCCGCGAGCCATGGCTCGATCGCGGCACTGTACGAATCAAGCGCAGCTACGACGATGCTGCATCGCACTCGTTCTATGTACGCGTTTGTAACCAGAACTTCCCTAGAGCCGACTCGCTATAGAACCTCCGTGCATCTTCCTCACTTCCGAGCTTATGTTTCTTTCTTTCAACGAAATGTCTCCCGCCGAGTGCCGTCTCGAGTTGAAGTCTATTTTGAGCAAAAGCAGCGTAATGAGGTTCGGGAGTTGCCTAGCCGGGAAACGTCGCCACGTCGCGTGCGTCGCCTCAGTCGCCACTCTCTTCGCGCCTTTGTCCGCTCTGCGCGTCTGTTCACTTCCCTCACCACCCACCTCACATCCTCTCACCATTCTCTCATCCCCCATCCCCCATCACCCATCGTCAATAACCCTCCCCGACCCTCTTTTTCCCATTTCCCCCGTCCCCCCAACGCCTTCCGCACCATCTCACCCCCCTTTTCTTTCCCCTTCTCTTTCCCCCCTCCTCCCCTCCCCCGGTCCCACTTCTCCGCGTTCCCCGCACCTCTCCAGCGGTTCTCGCGCTCGCGCGTTCCCCTGCGGCGGAGGGCAGGCCCAACAACAAGAACAAGAGAAACGAGAACGCGGGCCTTGGTGAGCGACACGGCCTGGTTACCACCTTAGACGAAAGCCATTGGCGAAGTCCACATTCGGAGGCGAAGGCGATAGGCAAAGGCCAGGGTAATGTTCATAGGAGGTCATAGGCGAAATGCATTGGCGAAGACCACAGGCGAAAGCTACAGGCGAAGGGCATAGTGGAAGACCGTTGGCGAAGGCTGTAGGAAAAGAGCAAACGGCGAGCGTGCGGGTAAGAAAAAGAGGAAAGCAGCCGTCGCAATGAGCATGCGACGAAGAGGACAGCAGCCGTCACAGTGAGCATGCGACGATCAGCGATGAACGACTAACTTTCCCCAAACTCGGGCTTGCCGACGACTTCGGAGTTGACTTAACATGGGAAATAGAACGCGATAAGACGAGAAATAGTATCGAACTGCGGAGATTAAGGGTGATGGGCGACAAGCGAAGAGTTGCGAACAGTTGTGGTAGAGTGGCAGTAAATAGCAGCGAACAGTTTGGTTACACGGTTACACAGATACAACACGCGCTCGCTCGTCGACCTCGCACGTGCGCGAGTGCATGTCCGTGCATCTACCAACGTGCACGCCGCGAGTGTATCACAGAGATCTACTGGCCACCTCCCGCTCTTACTCTCTCCACTTGCCCCCCTCCACCTCCCCCTCCTTCCTCCTCTCCCCCCCTTCCCCCTCCCTCCCCTCTCTTCCACCCCCCTCTCCCTTCTCCTCCTCTTCTCCTCCCCCTCCGCCCATGTCCCCCTCCGCCCATGTCCCCCTCCGCCCATGTCCCCCTCCTCCCATGTCCCCCGCCAGCCTACTATTCCGCCATGGCGCGCGGGACGTCGACTAAGAGTATAGCGGCTATTGCTGTAGCGGAGAGGTGAGGGCATTACCTGGGCCTTCTTTTCCCCGCTTTCTCGCCTCCGCATGTTCTTCGTTCACCATTTCACACCCCTCCAGACCCACCCGCACTCCCTCCCCCTCCCTTCCTCCTCTCCTCCTCTATCTCCTCCCACTGGGTGCCGCATTTACCTCCTCACAACCTTTTCTCCTTCTGTGCATCCTTCCACGTTGCACCATTACTATCACGACACAACCTCTCCACTCTCTCTGCCGCTCATGCCCCTTCTCCTTCCTCCTCGCCCCACTTCGTCCCTCCGTACCCTCCCCTACCCTTTTCCCCACACACATCTTCCACCCTTCCCCACCCGGCCCTTCTACCCCTCCGCCCTTCTCCCTCCCCTCCCCCTCTTCGCTCCCCCCCAACGCTCCCCCGCCGCGCACCAGCATTCAGTTCCAGCTGACGGTGGGCGGCTCGTGGAATCCCCCTTACAACGTGACTCTCTATCGCAACCCCTCCATGCTGCCGTCCGCGCCGGCCGGCAAGGATACCGCCGTCGAGCTGCAGACGCTGGCTGGGAATGGAGGTACGGTGGGGAGGTTCGGGAGGGAGGTTCGGGAGGGAGGTACGGCAGGGAGGTACGGCAGGGAGGTATGGCAGGGAGGTATGGCAGGGAGGTATGGCAGGGAGCGGAGGTACGGCAGAGAGCCTCACTGGTGGTCTGTGCTAACTGCTCCCCCTCTCTCCTCCCTTCCCTTCTCCCTCTTCGCTCCCCCTCTCCTTTCCCTTCCTCGTTTCTCTCCCTCGCATGTTATCCTCTTCGTTCTGTTCCCTCCACACCACACCCCCCCCCCCCGCCCCCACTCCCTATTCCCTTTCCGACACTCCCTTCAGTGGTCCTGTCACAGCTACCATTGCTGCCACTGCTGCGGTACCTCTACGCGTTTGCCCCAAACTTACCCCTCCCACAACCCCCCCTTCCCTCAATACCCCCCCACCCCCGCGCCCCTCCCAATCCCCCTCCACGTGCCACTTGCGCGCCCCTTTTCACTCCCACCAGGTACAGAGTGGTTGAAAGTGGTTCCAACGGTTTGGGAAACCTACGGCTCGGTTCTCTTCCAGGACGGCACGGACTCGATGACCAAGGAGTTGGCGCCAGGTGGCAGGCCGCAATTGGTGGGCGAGTACACGGTGGAAACGGTGTCGCCCCCGGGATACTCGGACGAGCCACCCAAGCTGGCTGTGGCAAGTTTGGAGAGAGGCAACGCTAGGAAATTCGGTGAGTGGGGGGTGGTTGGGTGGGTGGGGAGGGGTGGGTTTGGTGGAAGAGGGTGGTTTGGTGGGTGGAGGACGGTTTGGTGGATGAGTGTTGGGTGTAGCAAGGGCATGGATTCATTGCATTTGAATGCTTACTGCAACTGCAACCCCTTTGTACTGCCACACTCTGGCCCCCTCCCACTTTCCTCTCCCCCCGTCCGCACTCCTTCCCACTGTCCCTGCCTTTCCCCTCTTCCCACAATGCCCTCCGCTTTCCCCTTTCCTTGTTGTTTTTTCGCATAAAGGAAGGAGCAAAAGCACGGCCCAAGTCAACCCCCCCTGTTATCGTTCCCTCCTTCCTCACAGGCAACCCGGTCTCCTCATCACCCCTGTGGGGAGTCCTCTCTTCGGCGCTGCTCTCGTGCATGCAATGACACGCGGCACTTATGTCACTTCTGAGAATTCTCAAGAGTGCGCTCGTGGATGCAATGACTGGCGGCGCTTCTTGAGTTTCGACACGTCTCAAGCGCGCTACACCCCTTCTTCCCGTCCCCCTCCGCCCTCCAGGCAACCCCGGTCTGCTTGCCGCCCCTCTGGAAAGCCCTCTCTTCAGCGCTGCGCTCGTGGATGCCATGACGGGCGGCGCTTATCTGCACATCGCCTTTGAGTGAGTGCCCTGTGCAAGCAAGCTGTTATATACGGCTGTAACAGCTTGTAACAGCTTGTAACAGCTGATGTAATGTACAGCCATATATTTACACCCATTCGCGTGCATTCAGCTCAGTTGCCGACTTCCTCCTGTTAAAGCCGCCCATTTGTCCCCTCAACAACTATTCGCGTCTGCACACCACAACCGTTCGCGTCTGCACGCCACAACAATTCCTCCTATGTGACGGCACTAGTGCACCCACAGCATCCCCTCCCCACCCCTCTGCTTTTACTTGCCGCCAGTGCTGCTTCCATCTATTCACACCCATCTGCCCACTTACCCCCCCACCCACGCACTTACCCCCCCACCCACACACCCCTTCACCCATCCACCCTCCCACCCACCCACCCTCCCAACCCACCCATTCCCCCCCCAACCCCACCCCACCCTTCACAACCCTTCGAGTCCAACCTGTCCTACGTGGCTTGTACTCACCACTATTTTATTCACAACAACCCCCTTCCCCCCCTTCGCCTCCCCTTCGCCCTCCCCACCTCCCACTCGTCTCCTTCCCCACCCCGCCCTCAGAGCCTCCCAATACAACCTCTCCCACGTGGTGGCAATAGTCGACCCTCAAGGGGACCCTCTCTTTGCTGCATGCACTCACCGCCGCTATTCCTTCACCCCACTCCCACCCCTCCCACCGCCACCAGAGCCTCTCAATACAACCTCTCTTATGTCGTCGCAATAGTCGACCCAGAGGAGGACCCAGTCTCCCCGCTGCTCCGCATTTACAACGACACCCACGCCATGCCGGCCCTGCCGCTGCACTGCGCCCGCTCGCGCTGGGCCAACCCGCGCATGGGGCTCTTCACGTGCGCGGGCTACCTCACAGTTGACGCTGCCGCTGGCCTGCAGTACCCCCCCGGTGCTGGGGAGGTGGGTTCGGATGTTGGCGGGGGTGGGGCGGAGAAGAAGGGGGGTAAGGGGAAAAATAAGTTTCTTCCGGGTGTGATTGGTGGGAGTGGTGGTGGGGGTGGTGGAGGGGGGGGTGTGGCAGGGGCGTTGGGTGGTGCGTTTGCAGCTATTGGGAAGAAGTTGGGAGGGAAGAAGGGAGGGAAGAAGGGAGGAACGGCAGGCAAGAACCGTCCACAGTCACTGCCTGCAGCAGCATCCTCATCCTCCATAAAGACTGTCTCGTTAAGCAACACTGCAGGTGTAGCCCAGCCGAACCAAATCGATGGCACGCCACTCTCAAGTAAACTAAAGGACAGAGCAGAAACAGCAGCCCTATCCCTCCAAACTCTAGGCCGGAAAGGTGGGAAGAAGGGCGGCAAGGGTGGCAAGGGAGCAATAACCGGCGGGGACAGCAGCAGCGGCAGCGGAAAAAAAACAAAAGGAGCCGACCCAGCAGCAGGCGCAGACCCAGCAGCAGACGCTGGCGGTGCTGGCGGGGATACCGGGGGTACCGGCACGGGCAGCAATGGAGGGGGGGCAGGGGACGAGGAAGGGCGGGCGGAGATGCCATACATGGAGGCCATGGCGAGCCTGCTGGCGTTCAGCACGGATGGCGGCGATGGCTCGACGTCCTACGAGCTGAGTGTGTTCGGCGCGTCCCGCATGGTGGGGTCGTCCAGTAGTCTTGAACTCACTGCCAACACGTTCTAATGCGGTGCAGGGGGGGTTAGTGGAGGGGATTGAGGGGGCTGATGGGGATGATGGGGCTGGAGGGGCTGGGGGGGGGGGACTGGAGGGGACTGTAGCGTTGGGGGGAAGCACATGTTCCGGGGGGCTCTGGTGGTGATTAGTGTGTGAGCTCAGTGTATTCGGTGTGTGCGCCTTGTCAGGTCGTCTCAGAGCCTCGACCCCACTGCCAAGGGTTGAGGAGATGCAGGGGAGATGAGGAGGAAAAGGGAGCTACAGGGACGAGGATTGGCGGAGGGAGACGCTGTACATGGAGGCGATGGCAAGCCTGCTCACGTTGGGCACGGACGGTGGAGATTACATGACGATGTACGAGCTCAGTGTGTTCCGTGAATTGCACCTCGTGGGGTCGTTGCAGAGTGTTGGTAACAGGTGATGCTTCTCTGGGGAGCTCGAACTAATGTGGTAACAGGTTTCCAACTAATGTGGTACGGTATAGGGGGGATGGGGGAATGAGGGGATTTGTGGGAAGCAAACGTTTGTTTTGTTTTCAGGTGGGGTTTTTTGTACTATATGATGGTCTGGTGTTGGTTGCCGCTATTTGTTTGCTATGTTGCTGTGCTAGCAAGTGTTGCACATGGCTAGTATGTAAATTATGTACTGTTGAAAATAGTATGGCATTGTAAGAAACTAAATAGTACATGGTATGAGACCTCGTGGCTGTCGTAACAGATCCGAAGCAGCCGCGGGTCCCAACCAATTATCAGTGACGCGTCATTTTGCTGGCTTTGCGGAACACGGTTACACAATCGTTGGACCTAAGGACGTGTCTCATGTGAAGGGTCCGCTGGATCTGGTCCGCGACCAGAATCTATACGCCTGGTCCGGGGTTCTGGTCCGACGGACCCACTTGGCGGACCAGCGCTGGACCAGACACGGACTGGTCTGCCTGATGCGTCGCGCTTCGGGCTGCACAGTATTTGCGAGACGCAGCAGTAACGACGAATTTGAAATTGAGTTACCCATTTTCTTCGTCTGCACAAAAATCTCACGCGAAACTTACAAAACAAGAAATTTCGCCAAAACAAATGTTTCCCCACCCACTGTTTACGGACCAGGCGCGGACTGGTCTGGAGGGCCAAATAAATGGCACCGTTTTAGTGCCATTCGAACGGTATAACGGGGTTACAAGCCCCACATCCTGGTCCCGGCCCGCCCTGGTTCACGCGCTGGTTCTTGAGCTGGTCCGTCAGGTCCGAGCCGTACCCACGTGGACTCAGACATCTGAGACACCCTATTACTCTAAACTGTACACTCTCGGGTAATCTGGTTACCCTAATTTCAACCCAACCCGACCGTTCGAGACCGTGACCGGGCCCCAAAATAGGGGAAGGTAAGGACGCGGGCACTCACACCGATCCGTGAGGGGCAGGGATCGATTTTTTAGGTGGTTTCCTGGTTACCATGCATGTAACCAAGCTACAGTAAATCTCTACAGTACTCGATTGCTACCTCATATGCGATGTTCAATTGGGGCAACCGATCATCCAGGGATCCACGCCAATCTTTCGATCGGGCGTCAGTGGTCAAGCAAGATCGATCGCTGGTTAGCGAGTCCGCGAAATTTCATTGTCAAACATCCGCGAAACACAATATACCCCACGCGACAAAACAGAGGGCGCAACTCCGTATACCCGGCTGTAAGGCGAAACATTTTGGGGTTTCGACAAAAGGGAAAAAAAATCGCTGTTACGCCGTACTGTACCTACCTTACTGACGATCGTGATCACAAGTGGGGAGCAGATCACAGAAGTCCAATCGTCAAATGAACACTACGTTTGATTAGAGAACAGTGCCAGAGGTTCGGTGAACACAAGAGATCCTACCCCGACCCTCCCGAGTGCCCGCGTCCTAACACGCTCTAATTTGGTGAACGAATCAGATTCATCACACTCCATTCACTGCACTTTCTTGTTTCACACGCTTTCCTCTGCGTCTGTCCCTCACCACACCACATCCCTCTGCGCTGCCTGCTCACACCGTAAATTCCGTGAGAGGGGTGCGATACGATGGCTTCGCGACGTCGCTTCCCCACGTCCGTCGTCAATCATCGCTGTCGCGGCACCCCCGACTGCACCTGCGCTTTCTGCCAAGACTTCGCCGCAGTACCCCCCGCGAACCGCGCCGCGAACGTTGCAGCAAATCCCGCCGCAATCCCCGCCACTGCCAGCGCGGGTACCACCAGCAACGCACCGCGTATACTGTCGACAGCGGAGGAAGCGGCCGCGCTGCGAGCCGCCGTAGATTTCGGCGGCGCCGCTCCGGACTATCTGCGTCGCGGGCGGGCCGACTCGCAGTCTGGGGCCGACGGACCGTTAGGGGATCGTGTAGGGCCCGCGATTGACGGCGTGGCACGCGCCGCAACAGGCGGCGAGGGAGGCGGCAGAGGAGAGGAGGCGATCGACGCGCAGAGCAGGCGGGAAATGGCGGCTGGGCGATCGGGACTGATTTTCGCGACGGGGATGCGTGGGCAAGACGGTGAGATGAGGATGCGGAGGAGGAGTGGGGGAGGGGCTTGAGGTGAGATGGTTACACGTAAGGAGGTGCAGAGGGGGGGATGAGGTGGGGGTGATAGGGTAGGGAGAGGGGGAGAGGGGTGGGTAGATGGAGCGGGATAGGGTGGGTCGTTGCCTCTGCGCCTCCCTCCCCTCCACCCAACCCCAATCCCCTGCTTCTTTTATTCCCTTCCGCAACCCAACTGCCAAATTCCCCTTTCTCTAAAACTGTTTCCCCAGGAGGATTTTGTTTTTTTCAGACCCACTAAGCTCTTTCGAAATCCCTAATGTTTCCCCGTTCCCTCTCCCCCCTGTTTCGCCCACCAGTTCCCCCTGTGCCGTCCCTGCTGCAGCTGTGTGTGGGCGAGGTGGGGTGCTACCTGCCTTGCCTCCTCCGCATGGACTCACGCGAGTTCGACTTGAGAGGCTTCGTGGCACTGCTGCCCTCGCACGCGCGGGTGCGTGTGCATGTATGCTCGTTGCATGGCACCGTGGGTAGGATGCGCATGGCACCGTGGGTAGGATGCGCATGGCACCGTGGGTAGGATGCGCATGGCACCGTGGGTAGGATGCGCATGGCACTGTGGGTAGGATGCGCATGGCACCGTGGGTAGGATGCGCATGGCACCGTGGGTAGGATGCGCATGGCACCGTGGGTAGGATGCGCATGGCACCGTGGGTAGGATGCGCATGGCACTGTGGGTAGGATGCGCATGGCACCGTGGGTAGGATGCGCATGGCACCGTGGGTAGGATGCGCATGTCACCGTGGGTAGGATGCGCATGGCACCGTGGGTAGGATGCGCATGGCACCGTGGGTAGGATGCGCATGGGGCTGCGGGGATTGCCGGATTGCATGGGTGTGGTGGGTAGGGCGCATGCATGAATGGGCATGGAGAGGCATTGGCCTGTGGCGGGCGGAATATCATGGGAACAGAGATGAGTCACCTTTACGAGTTTTCAATTCGAGGGACTTCGATATTGCCAAATTCCATGGGTACAGAGAGGTCTAGGTGGGTACAGAGAGGTCTAAGTGGTTACAGAGAGGTCTAGGTGGGTGCATATCACGCAGGGCTGGTCTGTGCTGGTGAGAATGGTTGTGGCCAGAAAAGTCGGACTGGAGCTGCCACCTGCCTTGCACTGCACGCCACATGCTCATGCGCAGGTGGCTGTGGGGTTGGGGTTGGGGTTGGGGTTGGGGTTGGGGTTGGGGTTGGGGTTGGGACATGTCTGTGTGGTGTGCGTGCTCCCCTTTCTTCCCGCCCTCAACATCTCCAGTCAACAACTTTCTCCCCTTTCTTCCCGCCCTCAACATCTCCAGTCAACAACTTCTCCCCTTCCATCCTCTTCGCCCGCCAACCCCCCACTGCCCCCAACTCCTCCCCTCCCATCCCCACGTCCTTCTCTCCCCGCTCCCTACCCCCTTTCTCCCCCCTCCCTCTACCCTTCCCCCCCCACCACCTTCCTCTCCATTGGTCCACGTGTCAATACAGCTCGCGCTGACAGCCATCGCGAGGCGTCGAGGGCTGCTCTCTGATTGGCTGCTGGAAGCGCTGGTGGATGACACATGGCAGATTGTGGACTTGTGTGGATCTAACGTGTCAGACCAAGGCCTGTGCCATGTGGCACAGACTTGCACCAAGCTTGTAGCTTTAGACATCAGGTGAGACTTCAGGTGAATTTTCAGGTGACCTGGAAGCAAGGAGGCTCTTTCACGAATCAGGTTGAGCGTTCATCGCAGCCTCGCATCTGAGAATTCTCAAGTGTTTTTTCACACTTCACTTCACTTGGCTGTTCAGGTTCTTTACGCATCTTTTCTTAAAACCGGAGCCCCAAATAGCCCCAAACTGCCTCAACCTTCCTAACTTTGGTTGGGTGTGACCCAGTTGATACCAGCTCTCCTCGCAAATTGTTGGGACGATTTTCGCCAAGCGAAATTACTGTTCATGCGAGGACGATAGCGGTGACAAATTCGCAAACACATTTGCAGCCCGTCCGAAACAGTCAGCGAACGAGTTCTGACGTAGCATTCCACATCTGGTTACACTCGCGATTTTTTCTTACTTAGCGACCCGCTACCACTGATTTCAACACCACCCTGGCTCGCGAGCCAGTCACCTTTCGCTCCCCTTTCAACCTTCCTAACTTATAAACTCTTGGACCTCCGGTTTTAAATCTTATACCGGCACCCACCATCGCCATCACCATCATCACACTCTTCCCCGCCCCTCTCCCTGCTCCCACTCCCCCTCCACTCCCCGTGTGCACTTCTTCCCGCCCTCCTCTAATGCGCGTGTGTGTCCCTCAGAGAATGCAACGCCTTGTCGCTCCAGGCGCTCACACTCCTCCTCAAGGCCTGCCCCGCCTTGCAGGTGCTGCGCATGGGGTGAGATCGCTCTTGCCACCTCTCTCCTCCTTTTTGCCTCACATATCTGCCCCACATTCCTGCATCCCATCCTACCAGCCACCCATTCACTCACCCACCCTCCCGACCCAAGCTTTCTGAACTCTCAGTTCCGTCTCCCTTTCCTGCACTTTTCTTCCTATCCCCTCATTCCTCCTGAGATATTTCATCTCGTCCCCTTTCCACCCGCCTTTTTCACTTCTCCCCTTCCCTCTTTCTCCCCTTTTCCCCTTCTCTCATTCTCCCCTTCTCCCGGCTTCCCTTCCCCTTTTCCCCCGTTCCTCCCTTCTTCTGTTTCCGTTATTCCCTTTCTCCGTTCCTCCCCTTCTCCTCATCTCCCTCCCCTCCCTCCCCTTTCCCCTTCTCCCTTCTCTCCTCCCCTTCTCCCCTTCGTCCCTCCATCCCCCTTCCCGTCTTCCTGCTCAGGGGCTCCCCTGCTTGCAACAAGGTCGCCCGAGCAGCAGTCAAGTGGATGCTACCGCAGCAGCCTGTAAGGGGTACAGAAGGTGCAGAGAGCGCAGAGGCAGGAGAGGAGGAGGTGGAGGGGGAGACAGCGCAAGGAGAGAGGGAGGGGGGGGAGGGCGGGTGGGAGGGCAGTTGGGAGGAGGTGGAGGAGCGCCTGGAGGAGAGGGTTCCTGCCCTGTGGTGGCTCATCTGGGTGAGTGTGTTGGTGTGTTGGTGTGTGGGGGGTGGGAAGGGAGGGGAGGGGGGCACGGGTGACTGGGTGGCTGGGTGGTTGGTGGGGATGGTGGGGATGGTTTGTTCACCAGTGCCCCTTGCGTGGGTCCCCTGCGTGCGCCCCTCTTGCGTGCGCCTCTTGCTTGTGCCCCTCTTGCGTGCGCCTCTTGCTTGTGCCCCTCGCCCCTTGTGTGTGCCCTTTGGCAGTGCCTCTTCTGATTGCTTTCACCTTCACCCTCTCACACCCATGCTTTCGACCCACCACTCCACTCCCATTCATCGCCTTCCCCCACCATTACCCGTCACCTGCATGAATTCACTCTCACCACTCCTTCCTATGCAACCTGCTCTTCCTTGCCGGCGGATAGTCAACGTGCGTTTGCCTTACCCCTGTGTCCATCCCAACCTCGTTCTCCCGCAATCTCTCTCTCACATCCCCTCCCTTCCCTTCCCCTCCACCCGTCCATCGCCCTTCTCAGCCTGAGGCGGACCCCAACACAGCATCACTGCTCGCCTCCAAGTGCCCGCGTATCCTCCTCAACCCCGCCCCGCCCTCTCCTCCTCCCCCCCACTCTCTGCCTCCCCCTTACTGTCACATCCCCACTACTCTTCCCTCCTCCGACCCGTCCATTCCTCCTAACCTTCCCACTTCCATCCCTGCCCTCCCCTCCGCACTCCTCTCGCGCACCCCCCTGCAAGCCTTCCCGGCTCTCCCCCTCGACGCCCCGCACCTGGTCGGTATCCCCCCGGCAGTGTGGGAGAGGGGCGCTGGAGAGGACGAGGAGGAGGGGGAGGAAGGCGAGGAGGATGGGGAGGAGGGGATAAGAGGAGAGGCGGAGGCAAGAGGGCGGAGGAGAGGATTGGCGATGGAAGGAGCACGAGCAAAGGTGAAGCCAGGAGCAGAGGTACCACAAGAGGTACCACAGGAATCAGAGGCGCCACAAGAGCTGTCGGTAGCGGAGCGGTTCAGGCTGGCGTTTGTGGCGCGCGATGAGCGGCTGGCGCCCAAGCGCGCCAAGAACCAGCGCCAGAGGGAGCGCCGCGAGGGGCGGGACCGCGCCGCTGCTGACGTGGCGCTGCGGGCGCGGCTGCTGGCTGGTGCTGCCACCCGGTCGCTGCGGCTGTGACGGGACGGGATGGGAGAGGCGCTATTGGGGTGAAGGGCGCATGTTTGGCCGTTGGGACCACACCACACTGCTGCTGGCATGGCCCTCTTCCATCTACCGCGGGCGCCGCTGCTGGCGAGTGCTGCCAGCCGGTCATAGCGACTGTGAAGCGGATGGGATGGGAGGCCCCGTCCTTAAAACGTGCTGCCGTTGCAAGAGAATGCCAGGCTGGCTTCTGTACAGGAGGGCGCGCCCTGGCCTTTGGGACCATGCCGCTGCTGATGTGGCCCTCTCTCGGGCGCTGCAGCCATGGCTGCTGGCGAGTGGGTGGGGATGGGAGGCACTGACTTGCAGTGCAAGCACGCATGGCTGTGAAGGGATGGGTTGGATCATGGGACGCCTGCGTGTGTTGGATTGGGGTTGGGGCGTCTCAAAGCTCACTTGGGACGTGAGGGAGCAGGCGAGCTGCATGTGGTGGACTGCGGGGCATGTGTATGACGATGGTGTACTGTAATGGTGGTGTACTGTAATGGTGGTGTACTGTAATGGTGGTGTACTGTAATGGTGGTGTACTGTAATGGTGGTGTATTGCCGGGTCAGCTCCAAAGCCACCCTGCCTTTGCGCCTGCGATGGTGTACTGTAATTGTTAGTGGCGTCTCCAGCTGTCATTCGCTAGTGCGCCTGGAAGTTCCGTGTATCACTGTCAATCCAATCCATAATAACTGTACATACACAATGAAACATTTAACACAGTTGGCTATAGCGAACCCCCAGTGATGGGTCAAGAGTGGAAAATGGTTTACTCTGCCATAAGCCGTAGCATAGCAGGTTCCAGCACCATTCGTGATGGCGAAACGCTGAAGATGCTTGCTGCAAGGATGTTGAGAGGAACGAGCGTGCGCTTGACGGCGTGTGATGAAGTGGAGAGACAGGCGGCGGCTATCTAGGAGCAGACCTTGCAGGCCTTGCGGCACGCCTCGTGCATGTACACAGGGTTCTTCTCACACTCGCCCGCCTCTGACCAGTACTGGCAGCTGTGATGCGTGCACAGACGTACACAAACACACACACAAGGTGAGGGGAGAGGTGGAATGAGCGGCATGAGCATACATGGGGTAGCTGTGATACTATAGTGAGACATGCAGGGGAAAGAGATATGTGGAAATGACATCACCACATGCAGGAGGGAAGGCATGTAGGATGATGAGAAATCCTCCGTAACAGTTTCCAATTTGTAGCAGCCTTGCCACTCCCTTTGCACTGCTGTCCGTGCCAATTCCCCCACTCGATACCAGCACCATCAGCATCAGCATCAGCGGCAGCATCAGCAGCATCACCAGTCCCTTATTGCTGATCAAAGCGTGCCAGATGGGTCCATTTGACTCGCTCCCAACACACGAGCACACCCACCATGCCATGGGCACACCCACCATGCCATGGGCACACCCACCATGCCATGGCACACCCACCATGCCATGGCACACCCACCATGCCATGGGCACTCCCACCATGCCATGGGCACACCCACCATGCCATGGCACACCCACCATGCCATGGCACACCCACCATGCCATGGGCACTCCCACCATGCCATGGGCACTCCCACCATGCCATGGGCACTCCCAACATGCCATGGGCACTCCCACCATGCCATGGGCACACCCACCATGCCATGGGCACTCCCACCATGCCATTGGCACACCCACCATGCCATGGGCACTCCCACCATGCCATGGGCACACCCACCATGCCATGGGCACTCCCACCATGCCATGGGCACTCCCACCATGCCATGTGCACTCCCACCATGCCATGGGCACTCCCACCATGCCATGGGCACTCCCACCATGCCATGGGCACTCCCACCATGCCATGGGCACACCCACCATGCCATGGGCACTCCCACCATGCCATGGGCACACCCACCATGCCATGGGCACTCCCACCATGCCATGGGCACTCCCACCATGCCATGGGCACACCCACCATGCCATGGGCACTCCCACCATGCCACTACGATTCCTTGGCGCCTCTGCACTCGCCTTCATCACTAGACTCTTCTGCACCAGCCCCCTCATTCTCCATGAATTGACTTTTGAGTCAACACAACAGCCCCCCTACTTACTATGCATTGCTGTCCGTGCACGCGCCATCACCCCCACCCCCACCAACAGCAGCCGCGCCGTCGGCGCCAGCATCAGCAGTGGCGAGCGGCTTATCAAAGTCTGCCACGTGGATCCACTTGGGCGCGGACCACTTGACGCCGTGCACCACGGGGCAGGCGTAATGGAGACTGGCGGGGTCTGGCGTGCCGTCTGGGTGCAGGTTGAAGAAGAGCAGCGCGTCTCCCTTCTCTGGCTTCACTGGTGGGATGGGCAGGGGATGGGAGAGGGAGGAAGGGGAAGAGAGGAGGAGGGAGAGGGAGAGAGGGGGAGAGAAGAGAGAGAAGGCAGGGAGGGAGAAAGATAGGTGGGAGGGAACGAGGAGGATGTTACGATACGATCTTAACTTAGGAACCGGGTTAGGGCCTAGGCTTAGAAGCCTAGGCCAAGCGAGTGTCAAGGAGGATTGAGAAAATGGTTGGATGTTCACTATAGCACACGAGTACATATAGCAACCTAACAAAGGTGAAAGAGGTGCACCACCATTCAAGGGCATTACACAATAGCTACACTACAGGCAGATTATACTAAATATATATAAATATATTTTGACAGAGGAGTGAGGAGCGGCGCGCTGCCGCCCCTCGACACAGGGAAGACAGGGAGGAGCAGGCGAGGGTGGGAGGGGAGGGAGAGCCCCGGGAAGACCAGAGACAAGGACACGGCGGTGTATGCTACGAAGGCGCTGCACCGAGGGGTGACCAAGGCGGTGGTGCCAAAGGAGGGTCTGGTGCGACAAAGCGCGACACGAGCAGGGGGCCGCTAGCTGACCTGACGCAGACGCAGACGCAGCGACCTGAGGGGACACAGTAGTCAGTGAGTACAGACTCGAGCCAGGCTCACAGGTAAACGTGGTCAGGTGCCGGCCCGTCCGGGAGCACGTACAGTGGGTCACGCTCTGACCTCCAAGAGTGAACTGGTCAACCCACTGGTCCTGGAGGTCAGCACCACTCACCAAGTTCGTAGAGAACGAGGGGAGGTGAAGACCTGACAGGGAGCCAGACGGGACCGCCGGACACGGCAGGACCGTGGAGGAGTGCGCAAGGACTGGACCCCCAGAGGGGTCTGCCAGGGAGACTGCAACCGGCCGGCTGAGCGGCGTGAGGGTGGTGCTGTCGCGAAAGAAGGAGCGGGAAGCACCTGAGTCAAGTGTGAAGGTGTACAAGGCCTCAGCAGGCGCAGTACGAGAGAGAGCAGACTCACCAGCACCTGGAGCAGCAGCCTCACCAGCACCTAGAGCAGGAGACGCACGAGCATCTAGAGCAGCAGCCTCACCAGCACCTAGAGCAGGAGACGCACGAGCACCTAGAGCAGCAGCCTCACCAGCACCGAGAGCAGCAGGCTCTATACCTGGGTCAGGCGGTACGCACAGGTAACAGGCACGGTCAGCACTAGTAGGCAATGCATATATGGCAGTGAGAATAGCATCATAGTCAAGAGCAAATATATCTACCCTCTGCCCAAGCAGCTCCAGCCAGGTGGGGAGCTCAGCCTCGTCGCCAGGCGTCGCTCAGACGGGCGAAGCAGCGGGACTGTGTGTGACCAAGTGTCCTGCAAGCCTGACCAGCCCGATCACCTGTGCGAATGACGTACGGGCAGCGAACGGTACTCAAAGACCCTCTACTCTGAGCGTACCACTCATGAAGCTGCTGCGGCGTAAGTGTCTCACGCGGACGCCACTGCAGCTGCAGCTGGCTACTGCCAGACGCTCCCGACTGACCAGCTCCAGGGCGACAGCCACGACGGCTACCGCCACAACCCCAACTAGCGTACCACTCACGAAGCTGCTGGGGCGTGAGAGACTCGCGCGGACGTCGCTGGAGCTGCATCTGGCCACCGCCAGTAGCAGCAGCAGCGCGGGCAGGGCAGGCGCGGCAGGCAGGCAGGCAAGCTGGCAGGCAGGCAGAGGGCGCGACAGCGCGCGAACAAGGCAGGTGCTCACCAGTGGCGGGAAGGGCAGGCGCTTGCCGGGCGAGCAGGGCCGGTGCTCGGCGGGCGGCGGCAGGGTAGGCGCACGACGGCGGCGATGGCGGGGCCGCAACCGCGGCTGCAAAGTAGGGCCGCGGCGGCTGCAGAGTAGGGCCGCGGCAGCTGCAGGGCGGGGCCGCGTCAGCGGCAGATCGGGTTCGCGTCAGCTGCAGGGCGGGGCCGCGTCAGCGGCAGGTCGGGGGCGCGACAGCGTCCTGGCGGGGCCGCGTCGGCAGCAGGGCGGGGCCACGACCTGGCGGGGCTGCGTCGGCGGCAGGGCGGGGCTGCGACCTGGTGGGGCTACGTCGGCGGCAGGGTGGGGCCACGACAGCGGCAGGTCGGCGTCGCGTCAGTGGCCTAGCGGGGCCGCATCGGCGGCCAGGCGGGGCCGCGTCGGCGGCAGGGCGCGGCCGCGTCAGAGGCAGGGCGGGGCCGCGTCGACGGTAGGGCGCGGCCGCGTCAGAGGCAGGGCGGGGCCGCGGTAGTGGCAGGGCGGGCCGCGACAGCAACCTGGCGGGGCCGCGTCGGCGGCAGGGCGCGGCCGCGTCAGAGGCAGGGCGGGGCCGCGGCAGTGGCAGGGCGGGCCGCGACAGCGACCTGGCGGGGCCGCGTCGACGGCAGGGCGGGGCCGCGACCGCGGCAGGGCGGGGCTGCGTCAGCGGCAGGGCGGGGCCGCGTCAGCGACCTGGCGGGGCGGCGCTCTGGCCTGACGGGCCTGCAGGGGCGTCGCACGGGCCTTAAGGGCCTGCAGGGGCGGTGCGCTGGCCTATGGCAGCAGGAGGCAGCACGAGGGCTGCAGGACGGCGTGCGCAGCGCAGTACGTCACAAGGCAAGGCAGGCAGGCAGGCAGGCGCAGGACAACACGTGGGGTAGCGCGGTAACCGCAACGG